TAATCCTATTTTGTTTAGTGTTTTCATCAGGAAAGGGTGTTGGATTTTGTCAAAGGCCTTTTCTGCATCAATTGATAGGATCATGTGGTTCTTTTTCTTTGCTTTGTTAATATGATGAATTACATTGATTGTTTTCCTTATGTTGAACCACCCTTGCATACCTGTTATAAAGCCCACTTATTTGGTCATGATGGATTATTTCTTTGATGTATCGCAGCTTGTTCTTTTAGGGAACTCAGACTTCCTGGTCTGCAGTTCTGTGATGCTTCTGGCTCCACCCTCCCTGTGCTGGCCTCCCGCTGGCACAAGCTGGTGGCCCCAGTGCCTGTACTTTATGTGCAGAAGAGAGCCCTTCTCTGTTGCCACCTGTTCTACAAAGGAAGAAAGGCCCATGCCTGAACCCATTCTTTCCCAACTCCTATTAATCATGATGTTTGCTGTCCTTGATCTCCAGCTCACAGTGACCACTTGTCAAAGAACAGAACTGCCCACAGAGTACTCTTGGCTATAATCTTTATAGGAGAGGGTTGTCAGGTCTTTATCTCAAACTTCATCTGACATACTTTGGACATGTTGCAAGGGGGGACCAGTCTTGGGAGAAGGACGTCATGCTCGGGAGAGTGGAGGGACAGCACAGGAGAGGAAGACCCTCAGTGAGATGGATTGATTCAGTGACTGGGGTAATGGGGGTAGGTGTTTCAGAGACAATAAGATTAACTCAGGGTAGCAGAGTTTAGGTCTGCTGTACATAGGGTCACTATGAATTACAAGTGACTTGACGGTACATCTCAAAAATTAAGAGAGGCCTCGCCTTCCCGTAGCAGTCAAGAATTTAACCATTGCACCTGAGGCCCTTAATGATAGTAGTCAGATTTTATTTTTCAAAATAATAAACTTTCAGTAAATAGATCCAGGTTCAGTAATTGCTACATAAATTATCCCCTACCACTGATTCCATCTATAATTGCCTTGACTGTTTCTCAGCACACACTGACAACCACATGTGACAGTGCTGTAATTTTTTGTTTCAACCACCAAGCAATTTCAGATGATCAAGAAAGTAAAGTCTACTGGATTTAATTGTGATTCAGAACTCCTGGGATTGACTTAGACCAACCAGGACACCGTAGAAAAATCAGATCACAGGGTTGAGGCAGGGAGAGTATGAGATGAGCCTGGGACATCTTGTGCAAGGAAGCCATCAGAGAATTACATGTCACGTCAAAAGGATCTGGCCTGTCCGGTCCCACTGGTCAGAGACTAGATAAAATGATAAGGACTGACTACTCCTGACTTCTGCTTTCAGTGCTAAGTATAGATGTAGTGTCTGAGGAGTAATCTTTCATTCAGTCCTGACCCTTTGTGTATTATGCGACTCAGAATCATCTAGAAATCTATTCTTTTAGCATACATCCTGAGATACCATGACAGACACTAACCAAAGATTACCTCTCCTTAATCTTCTGAAACGTTACTATAAAAGACCACCAAAAAAAGTATGTGAGTGAATTAGGTGGTTCCATATACATTAAAAATTAATTGAAGAAGCATTATCCTACAGTAGAATCTGCCTCCCATAAAGCTGTAGAAAAAAATATTTGTTAACAGTTTTGGAAATTTGAATGTGTATTAGGTGTTGTTGTTAAATTCCATTGAGTATAACTTGTAATGACCCTAGAAACAAGATCTGAACTCTGTCCCTATCCTGTGCCATCCTTTTCAACCTCCATACATGATAGTTATTAGGTGCCATCAGCTCATAGCAACCCTATGAATAACAAGTTTGAAACCTTGCTCTAGCCTGGCCATTCTCATGCAGTCACTGTGTCAATCCATTATATGATATTAATTTATACACTTTAGTATATATGACAATAGGACCTCTGGTGAGTTCATAGGAAAAAGATGAGCAGTCTCCTCCCACCTGATGTACAACCTTTGAATCCCAATGGAGGGTCAGTTATGAGTTGGTTCAGACTGGATGGCAATGAGTGAGAGGTATGATACAGGTATTGTGGGTTTGTAGGCAATTGTTTTTTAGTGATGGTCAAGGACTGCAGGCTTCAATGTGGATTGAAGCTCAACATCAAGAAAACAAAGATTCTCATCACTGAGCCTACTGGCAGCATCGTGATAGAGGATGAAGAGATTGAGATTGTTAATAGCTTCAGTTTGCTTGGCTCTACAATCAACACTCTTGGTACCAGCAGCCAGGAAACTAAAAGACGAATTGCATTGGGAAAGTCTGCTGTCAGAGACCTCTCCAAAGTACTCAAGAGCAACACTGTCAGTCTGGAGACTAAGGGGCGCCTGATACAGCCCATGGTCTTTGCAATTACTCGCTATGCATCAAAAATCTGGACAATGACTAAGGATGATAGAAGGAGAATGATGTCTTTGAGCTGTGGTGCTTGAATATACCATGGACTGCCAGGAGAACAGACAAGTTCGTCCTGGAGAGGGTGAGACCAGGCTGCTCCTTTGAGGCAAGGATTCTGAAGCTTCATACGTTGGGCATGTTGCAAGGCAGGATCAGTCCTTGCGGAGGGACATCATACGTGGGAGGGTGGAGGAACAGTGCAGGAGAGGAAGACCCTCAATGAAATGGATTAATTCAGTGACTAGGGTAATGGGGCTAAGTGTATATCAGAGACAGTAAGATTAGCACAGGATAGGGCAAGGTTTAGGGCTGTTGTACATAATAGGGTCGCTATGAGTCGCAGGCAACATAACAACGACAAAATATTATTTAAAGGTCTAATTTGTGTATTTTAAAACACTTCTAAAAAAATTAAAACAAAACAAAACAAAAAACCCCCACACTTCTGCCAAAATAAAAATAGATTAGGGGTGATGAAAAGCAAAAGTAGTACAAAGAGTGGAGTGGATTACGTCTATAGGAGAGCATGCATGACATACGCGTGCGCACATACCCACACACACCCTTCTCGGTCTCTAGTTTTTGTGCTTCACCGGTCCCCAGGACCCGTATTATCACCACCTGTGCGTGCCCAGCTGGAGGCGCTTAGTCATTCAGACGTTGCTGTATTTTCCTGTTTGCGGATGCCCACCCAGTCTCACACCAGCTGGTGACTCCCCCCCACCGCACAGACAGCTGCAATTCGGTATCTCAAACCCCAGACCTCACCCGCGCGGGGAAGCTGAAAAGAAGACGCCTCCATCACTTCCCAGCCCAGTGACGGCCACAAAGGCCTCGCAAAGTCCAGAGGACCCCAAACCACGTAGCCTTGATCTCTGCCAACTCTCCAGAGAACTACACTTCCCAGCAGGCGCTGAAGCGGCAAACACAGGTCTGAGCATGTGCATACGCGGGATCCGCCCCTGGTCTTAACCCTTTCGTGGCTGCAGATTGGCCTTAAAGTCGTGGGGCTCAGATACTGGAGGCAATGCGGTGAGATGGGATGGATATGGTTAAACTAAATTGGGGAGGTGATTTAAGGGATAAGAAGGGAGCCAGATTTTACTGGTTAGAGTCGGAGCATGGAGGTGGGAGGAAATGAGGCAAGCAGAGAGCGACAACTCTTGCAAACACTAGGAATCTAGAAGTGCCTCTTTTTCTGCAAAACGAAACCTTTTAGGTTCCAGAGAAGTTGAAATAAGGGCGAGGGTCGATAAAGGAGTCTGTCAAAGTTAAATCTCCCCACCGACCTCACAACCCCCTTCCTTTGCAAGACATATCACCTTTGATCCCAAAACGCTCTAGGGGAGGAGTAAAGTCGCGGACTTCTCTTGATCAGCCAGATGTGAGAGGGTAAAGGTCGGAAGTGGACCGAGGTTCTAAGGTGGGAGTTTCAAATAACTCTATGCTTCTTTGGGGTAGTTAATTCAACACTTAGTGACCCAAGAAAAGAAACCCGCATGTGGATGGGGTTAGGATTTACCTTGGATCAGATGGAAGGCCATTCTTGGTGACTTCCTGAACTGAGGGAAGTACTCCAACGTGAGGGGACAGGAGGGTGTCAGGAAGAACCGGGGTCTGGGGCCAGTGAGGAAACGCACTGTGGAAGGTGGGCCCAGTGAAGACTGGAACTTAGCTGTTAAGTAGTACGAACTGTAGAAGGCGTTAAGAGCCACCCAGACTGAGCCACCCCTTTCCCCCCAATCCCTCAGAGCTTCTTCGGGCCATCTGCTATGGTCCTGCCGGTGGGTGTTCCCTTCGGACCCTGGGGCTTCTCTGTAAAAGGAGATCTACCTCACAAGAGCACATCTAGCGCCACCTGCTGCCTTCTTCCCCTCCAGGCCCCAGCTGGCCCTTCCACAGGATGCCCGAGGGCCCTGAGCTGCACCTGGCCAGCCTCTTTGTGAATGAGACATGCAAGGAGCTAATGTTTGGCGGATGTGTGGAAAAGTCCTCAGTCAGCCGAAACCCTGAGGTGCCTTTTGAGAGCAGTGCCTACCGCATCTCAGCCACTAGCCGTGGCAAGGAGCTGCGCCTAATCCTGAGCCCCGAGCCCGGCGCCCAGCCCCCACAGGATCCACTGGCCATTATCTTCCGTTTCGGCATGTCTGGCTCCTTCCAGCTGGCACCAGGAGATGCTCTGCCACGCCATGCCCACCTGCGCTTCTACACAGCCCCACCAGCTCCCCGACTTGCCCTCTGCTTTGTGGACATCCGCCGCTTTGGCCGCTGGGACCCTGGAGGAGAGTGGCAACCTGGCCGAGGACCCTGTGTCCTGCTGGAGTATGAACAGTTCAGGTAAGGCCAGCACCGGTGTCATGCTAGGTTCCAAGTAACCTCACACACCTCACCTGCAGACCAAAGTTATGTTGTCTGCCCTGGAGATGGCCTGGAGCTAATATTATGAGAAGTGGTGATGGAAGAGGGGAAGGAGGGGCACCAAGAAGTTGGTCAGGTACAGCCCTCGGGATACATGGCAAGTGAGTCTCAGAATCCTATGCTTCTTCTTGGTGACCTCTGAAAACGTGAAAGGTGGCAGGACTTAGAACATGCTAAGCATGGTAGAGCAGGAAGTGCTCACTGACAGAGTTTTGGAGATCTGGTTTTGTGGTGTCCCACATTCAGTCAACCCACTGGCCTGTGTCCTGCAGCAACTCTGACTTGCATACAATCAAATAAGGTGGCGAGTGTCAACTACATCCTCTCCTGAAGAGGAGGCATAAGAGTCTTCTGTTTTTGCCTTCCTTTTGGTGCTGGGGGCCCAGCAGTGAGCAGTGGGCTGGCCTCTGCTTCTGGAACTAATGTTCACATGGTGGTGGTGGTTTGAGAAATGACATGGATGATTATTGAGGTAGGAGAGCATTTTGCAGAAGGGACATTTGAGCTGAGGCCTGACTCACGTGAAGATGTAGAGGAAAAATACTCAAACTGGCAGGAACCACTGACGCAAAGACCTGGAGGTAGACTGGGCCAGCTCTCTCTTCCTTGGATGTTCCACCTCCATCTGGTTCGTAGGGGGTTGCTTCGCCACAGGACAGGCCCATTTACCTTTGATTGCCTCCTGTCCTTCCCAGACATAAATGCCAAGTACATCCTTAGAGAAATCTCTATCCATGAAGCTTACCTGGGACAGTTAACTTTCTCAGCTGGTTTTGAATTCCCTCAAGGAACATTTTAGCCCAGATACAAGCAGGCGTTCTTGGTGTTCAGTTGGGAGCCCATAGTGATCTATTCCCCTTAAAGATCAAAGAGGCCTCCAATCCTGTCCTCATACTTTACTTTCTTCCTAGCCTTCTCCACAAAGAAAGGAGATGCCCTTCCTTTGCCTGGGACCAAGGAGATTTGCTGGGCTTCTGGGCCTGGCATGCACCAGGACATGCCTATGTGCCTGCCATGCATTGTGGCCTCCCGCCTCATTCAAAGTTTGAAGAGATGTGAGCTCATCAATCTTAAATTCACAGATGCGCTCTAACCCACCATGGGACAGGCAATTCTAGGCTTTGGGATGTGAAATCCTACCATCATCATATTCAAGGGTCCTGTACCATCCCAGGCTCGCTGGGGATACACACAGCATATGTAGACCTTGGCTTGCCTTGAGCACATTGCTTTATAGATTTTTTTTTTCTTTCTACCTAATGAATTAAAACCCTATATAGTTATTCACATTTAATAAGTAAGAAAATAAAGGCTCTAGGGACCAAAACAGCACTGAGGCTAGAAGCGGGACTGGACACCCCAAGAGCCCTTCTCCACGTTGCCGTTACAAGGATGAATCTGGGAATTATTGACATGGGGTGAGATGCTTCTACTACTGGAGACACAGGAAGGATGGAACTAATTAGGGATGGGTCTCCTACACTCACACTGTGTCCCTTCAGGGAGAATGTGCTTCGAAACCTTGCGGACAAGGTCTTTGACCGGCCAATCTGTGAGGCCCTCCTGGATCAGAGGTTCTTCAACGGCATTGGCAACTATCTTCGGGCAGAGATCCTGCACCGGTCAGCAGGCAGACGTGGGGCATGAGCTGGGTCAGGATGTACCCACGTGTCCCCTGCTCAACATGGGTCCCACTCACCCACCCCACCCAGGTTGAGGATCCCCCCCTTTGAGAAGGCACGCACAGTCCTGAAGGCCCTGCAACAGCACAGGCCGGTGGGTATGGGGAGACCCTACACAGGGCATGGGTGCTGCCCAGGCTAGTCAGAACATAGGCCAAGTCATGTCTCCAGCTTTGTTTGCTCTGTCACACACCACCTATGTGACCTCAGGGTGGGTCTTTCATGGCTTTGAGCCTCAGTTTCCCCTTGAGGAGGAGGTATGCAGTGCCTCTGAGGTCTGCTGAAAGAGGGGAGCCTACAACCTGCTGTCTCAATCTCTGCCAGTGCTTGACAGCCTGATTCCACTCCTTCTTCAGAACCCAGAGCTCACCCTGAGCCAGAAGATAAAGGCCAAATTGCAGAACCCGGACCTGCTAGAGCTGTGCCACTCAGTGCCCAAGGAAGTGGTCCAGCTGGGTAAGGCATGGCAGGAGAAAAACGGTCTGTTACCTTGCCCTGGTGTGCTGTGTGATCCTGCGTGTGAGCAGTGGCTGCCCTACTCTGGGTCAGTTTCTCACCTGGGAAATGGGAGGCTGTAGTCTCTGTTGTTAAAGTGGACTAGGGCTCCTCATTTCCCAGGCATGTGGGCATCCATCAGCAGGTAGGACAGGCTCATAGCCCTACCCCAGGATGGGAATGCCATGGTCCAGAGAGGGGAAGGCACTAGCCTGAGGCCACACAGCCAGTGGAGGGAAAGCCTTAGCCCTGACTCAGCCATCAGCTTGTGTAGCTGAGGACTGGGCCAGTCGGCTAGGCTCCCCCTCCTCCCACCTCAAGTCCACTCCCTGACCTCCACCTGTTCCTCTGTCCCACAGGGGGCAAAGGCTATGGGCCGGAGAACGGGGAGGAGGACTTTGCTGCCTTTCGAGCCTGGCTTCGGTGCTACGGGGTTTCAGGCATGAACTCCCTGCAGGACCGGCATGGCCGCACCATCTGGTTTCAGGTGTGGGGTCCTACTGCTCTCACAGACAGAGCACCCAGGAAAGTTGGTGGGTGGGAGACTAGGAGTCTCTCCACCATACCATACCATACCATACCATACCATACCATACCATACCATACCATACCATACCATACCATACCCCATATCATATTCCTCCCCTCCTGTTCTACTTGGAGCAGTGTGAGCACAGGGCAGTCTTGCTTTGTCAGCACCAACATGCAGGGTGGGCGGGAGGCTCAGAGGCCTTCTAGGGAGGGACAGGTAACAGTCCTGCTCCATTGAGGAAAATGCCCCTTCCCTGGTCCTTGTTGACTCATGAATTCTCCTCATTCCACTTTAGGGGGACCCTGGACCGCTGGCACCCAAAGGTAAGCTACTCCTCAAGTTAAAGGCTCAGAGCAGAAAGTACTTTTGCTTGCAAAGCTACAGCACCTTTCTCTGTCTTCACACCAACCCTAGAGTGACCCCTTGGAAGATGGAATCTGTCAATGGGGGACTGAAGCCACATGGCCCTCTGACTCTAGCTTCAATGTCTTTCAGGGGGCAAGTCCCGTAAGAAGAAATCCAAAAAAACACCATCAGGCCTAAAGGACAGAGAGGAGGTATGCTCCCACCCTGCATCCTCCACCACAGGCTCTCCTTTCTGCCTGGGCCCCTCTGGTCCTACTTTCTGGAAAGTTGCCTTCTCCAGACACAGGGTGGTTGGTGGTGGGTCCTACCTAGCCTCTGAGGGCATCTCTGAACCCTCATTGGGAACTGTCTCCTCTACCCAGGACCCTCTACCTCCAAGCAAGGCCCCTTCCAAGGCACGAAGAGCAAAGAGGGACATTCCCAAGCAGCCCAGAGCTCAGGAGCCAGAGCAGAGCAGCCTCCAACAGGACCCTGAAGCCCCCACAGCCCTTAAGATGGGGAAGAGGAGGAGGAAGCGACCAGCCACCTCAGGTAGGCTTTCTTCAGCACCCTCTCCTGGGGAGGGGAGGGACCCTTAGAAACTGGCTCTTCAGAAGACAATGGGGTGACAGTGTGGGTGAAGGGAATGTGTAATGAGGCTGCTAGGGCAGTCATCCTGGGTACCTCTTGCCTAGCTATCCAACCTGTTTACCTTGTAGGCCGCCACAGGGCCCAGAAAACCAGAACTGACACCCCATCCTTAGAGCCAGAGGGGACCTCAGTCTCTTAGTAGGAGGGTCCCACAGCTGCATCCACCCCTTCCTGCTGCCTTGGCCTGGATGTGGGGCCTGCCCAACTGCCTAGAAGCAGGGCCCTCACGGCTATCCTCCACAATTGTAATGTTTTTTTAAGTGTACTCCCACATTCATTTTTACAGTCCATGTGAAAAATGTTCTAATAAAGAAACCCACACAAAAACAAACTGATAAAGTGTAATGTGTAGAGACATGAGCTGCCTGCAGGTCCAGGAGGGCCAGGTCAGGAGGGCCTACTGCCCGGCTTTCAGGAAGCTACCTTCTCAGAGGACAACTGATGCCCTTTCCAGGCAGCATAGGCCCACAGCTCTTCCAGCCCTCTTTCCTCAGGGCCTGTGGTCTCTACTAGTCCCTGCTGCCACCTGCTACCCAGATGGAACAGCCAGACTCCCCTCCATGCCTGCTTCATAGGTAGGGAGGCTGTGTAGTCTCATGGTCTCCTAACTTGTGGTCACCTGGAATCCTAATCTCTCATGAGGGCTACAACCCAGAACTCTCACAAAAAAAGCTGACAACCTTCCCCTCTTCAAAGCTGAGGGTGCTGTCAGCAGGGCTCCAAGTCCAAGGATTTATTATTCATGGGGTTATAGGGAACTGGTTCTTGATGTGGGCTGGAAGGCAGAGGAGGAATTTATGAAAACATGCCTGGCCTCAGGGCTCAGGCAGGTGGGGGCTGCAGCACGAGCATCAGGGACTGCACTTGGAAGGGAGAAAAGGTAAGCTTCAGGCGGTTGTCATGCAAAGGCAGGTGGCCAGCTGGGTCACGCCTCTCCAGGAGGTCACAGCTGCAAAACAGGAGGGGTTGTGAAGGTCCCTGCTAAGGACCAGGTTCTACCCCTCACCCCTAGTGGCACCTCTACTCACAGGACTGCCTCCTGAACAGGTAGGGCTGTTTGCAGCCAGCAGTTGACGTGGCTGCCATAGGCCTCATACAGACGCAGGACCAGTGTGCGGCTCAGGGGGCTGCCTTCAGCCTGGGCAGGGATGGTGGGCAGTGGGCAGGGGGCAGAGCAGCACAGCCTCCGGGCCACGTCCCCCACACCCCACCCCTACTTGCCCCCTTGCCTGCTTGACAGTCTCCAACACCACTGCGGGTGTGGACAGCGAGAAGGCACTCCAGGCAGCCGCCGGCGCTGGCCCCAGGGCAGGCAGTGCCAGCAAGGGGAAGTTGAGGCTATAGGCAGCTTGGATGACACCAGAATCTTGAAAGGAGCCTGGGGTGCAGGGAGGAGTGACTGCTAAGGCTTTACCCACTGACCATGGGAGAAACTGCCCTTCAGAGTCCAGGGCCTTGGGAGGGCTTCCCCACCCTGGCCAGCACTCACCCTTGTGCGGCATCAGTGCATAGGTGAATTCATGGCGCCCCATATCGGCGGTGGCATCGGGGGCTTTGGGTGCTCTCAAGCTGGGGGCGGGGGAAGCATGGTTTAGAGCTACTGGAATTCTGGCTTGGGGAGACTCAAGCCCCCTGGGCTCCCCAGCACCCTACTCACAGTGAGAGAGTGAGGACGTTGTCCCGCACTGAGGCACCGTACTTGCAGTCGTTGAGCAGGGCCAGCCCAAAGCCGTGCTCTGAAAGGTCCAGCCAGCGGTGGGCCCATACCTGGAGGGCAAACCCAAGACCTACTTGGGGGCCTGTGCCCAGTTTTGTTCTCCCAGTCTCCTTAGGGCCTCTCACAAACGTGAGAGCAGGAGCCAGAACCACATTTTACAGGAGGCCCCAGGCACCTCACCCAATATCAGAATCCTCCTCTGTGGAATGGGTCATCCCACCAAAAAATCCCGAACATGGAATAAATGTCAAGCACATGTTAAGAACTGGCATGTGCTGATCAACCATCATCTTCACCCCATAAATGGTCTCCCCCTGATGGGAATGAGTCCTTCCCGCTTTCCCCCCAGTCAGACCTCAAAGCGGGCCCAGTCCCAAGAAGTGTTGTAGTGGGTAGGACGCTGCAGGTGCCCAAACTGGATCTCATAGGAGGCTTGGGGGCTCCGAACCCTGGCAGGGAACTCCACCTTCAGGAACTTGTGGCTCTCCTGCCAGTGGACCTGCAGGTGGGCCATGGAAGGTGGGCAAAGTGAGAGGAGAGACCTGGTCCCAGCCACCTTCCCACCACCCTGCCCCTGCTACCTCAGTGTGGAAGCGGACATAGGGGCAGCCAAGGTCCAGCACCACTTCTTGGCTAAGCCGGCTGTTAGGGCTGAGTTGCAGCAGGAACCAGGCGCTGCCCCGAAGGCCGCCCTCATTGCCTACTGCCAGGGTCCCTGGCTGGCCCAACACTGGCTTTCTGTAGGGGGAGGGAGGGCGATGCTAAGGAAGATGGGCTGGAGGAGGTGATGGACAGCACCCAATAGGCTTGCACCTCCAACTCCGCACCGTGTCTCCAGGTGGTAGTCCATGACGTCCCACGCGTCCCAGTACAGGGGAACGTCATCAAATAGCACAAACTGGTTCCCCACGGCACCTTCGGCAATGGTCTCCCTGAAAGGACATAGGGATGGTGTTTTACAGTCTCCCTTGCTGCCCAAGGATGAGTGAGACAGAGGGTGACCAGGATCGGGGGACTCCCAGCACAGCTTGCCCTCCAAGTGTTGGTGGTGGTGTGGCCAGGGGACAAGGAATGGGGTCTGGGATCCACCTGCTGGGCACTGGGAGTGGACAATGAGAGGTCAGCACCTGCCAGAGGCTACCAGGACCAGGGATGTCACTCTGCCAGTCGGGTCTAGCCTCACTCGGATGATGCCATTGTCCAGAGTCACAGAACCGTCAGTCTTGGGAGGAGGATGCCTTGAGAATGAGCCTGAAAGGTCTTCTCACAAACAGTACCCTTCACACCCCTAACCCTTCCCTACCAGCCTTACAGGTGTGGGTCCCAAGTGCCCGTGTCCTCAGGGATAGACCTTACCCTGCTGGAACTTACCTCTTCAACTACCATCACAGGCTGCTGGGGCATCAGGGGCTGCTGGGAAGTGGGAGCAGGAGCATAGCCCATGCTGGGCACTGTCACCAGCGCTGGAGATGAGGCCAGGACCTTGCTTAGACCTGAAAAGGTGGGGAGACCCCCCCACCTCTTGGTCTGGCCTTGATCCCGCCTGCTGCAGTAGCAGACATCCCCTCAGTTCATACCTAGGGTGTGGGCTCCACCAGGCTTGGGCAGGGCCAACACTTCTGTGCGTTTCCAGGGCAATGTGTTAACAATGAGAAGGCCCTCAGGACCTGGTTCTCCGGCACACAGGGCTGTGGCCGCAGCACTGAGCAGTTCATTACCACAGGAACGGATGTCTAGGAAGAGAATGGCTAGTCAGGGGTGAGGGCCATGGGTCTGAGGTGACCCCTAAGTGTCCCACAGCAGACAGTATGGGCATGGTCTGTCTGCCATCTACTTCACCTTCATAGTATCTCATAGCATCCTCTACCACCAGCTGGATGCAGCTTCCAGGTACCACATCATGGAACTGGTTCAAGAGTAGGAGCCTGTGGAGGCCACAGGTAAGGGATCAGAGGCTCAGCCAGAGGTGCCAAGGGGAGAGGTGAGGTGGGCAGCAGGAGTTGAGCTGAGCTGACCTCCATAGGTCCTGCAGCTTTTCTGCTGGGTACAGGAACTGGCTGCTGCGGGCCAGAGCCAGGCTGCTGAGCAGCTCTGCATCGTGCAGGATCCGTTCACACTCCCGGTTCCCCTTCTTGATCTGGGCCGAGTGGAAGGACCAGTGTGGAGTCTGCTCATGCATTCCAGACACCTTCCAAAGCCCTCCCCTTGCTCAGAACCTCTGATGATTTTCCAGATGGAAATATGTGGGTACCATGCCCCAAAGGCCTTTGCCACTCTTTCTCAGTTCTGTCTCTACTATACTTCTCCCCCCTGAGCTTCTGCAGCCCTGGGAGCACCAGCCACCTCCTCTGGGTCTGGGTTGAGTTCTGTCTCCCCTGTTGGTTCTTGCCTCCTGCCATGAGCCCCTGCAGACCAAGGGCATCCCATCCCTGCCAGCTCTGCAGCCTGCCCTGACCTGGGCATGGGTGGTGTAGGTGCCGTTGTGTAGTTCCAGGAAGAGCTCCCCGACCCATGTGCACAGCTGTCCTGCCTCTCTCTCCAGCTCAGAGAAGAGTTGCCCTGGAGAAGACAGCTGTACCCTGCAAGAAGGCATGGGCCTGGGTCTCTCAGCCTTGGGGCCACGGGGCTCATCTTCCTCTATGTCAGCACAGATAAAAAATTCAAGCCTACCGGAGAGAAGCTGCCCCTTCTCAATGGATCCAACAGAGAGCTCCAAACACCCAGGAGAGCTGCTCACTAGAGGGGGACAGCCCCTTCCCACCCTCAGCCTCAGCCCCCATACCACTCTCAAGGAAGATGGAGGAAGAAATGTTCTAGGCTTGGAGTGGATTAAGGTCCAGTGGAAGGTTAGGCTCAATATAAGAGCAGGAGGAAGGATTCAAGGCAGGATCCAGGGAGGGGGTGGCAGGGCCCAGGCTGACCTGGGCAGCCCATCTGTATTGCAGAGTCGCTTCAAGCGATCCAGCATGGTCTGAGTGGGGCCACCACCCCCGTCCCCAAAGCCAAACAGGAAGGCACTGTGGTTGGTCCGTCCCTTGTCCCGGTTGTTGGTCACTGTCTTCAGCAACTAGACAGGTGTAGGAGCAAGTCAGGGTAGCCAACTTACGACACAGGCTTCCCCAATTTGTCCCCTGTCCAGCCAGTCATTGGTGCCCCCTCACCTCCTCCACATTGCACTGCATTCCATAGGAGTCGCCAGGTGGGAAGTGGGCCAGTACACGGGAGCCATCTATCCCCTCCCAGAAGAAGGTGTGGTGCTGCCAGCAGGAAAGGTAGCAACAGGCAGAGAGAGAGGTGAGAGGCCAGGAGCAGGGTGGGGGAACAGGCCCATTCTGACCCTGAATCCCTTGGTGTCTCCTGCTCACCGGGAAGGTGTTCACCAGGTTCCAGCTCAACTTCTGGGTCAGGAAGCGTCTGATACCACAGCCACGCATGATCTGTGGGAGCTGTGCTGAGTAGCCAAACGTGTCTGGAAGCCAGAACTGTGAGGAAAGATCCTCTGGGATACAGGAAGCAGGGCTCCTGATGGAGTAGCCCCACCTTGGCCCAGCTCTGTCCCCCAACCCTGTGTGCCCACAGGCACAGTGGCTCCTGATCTACCTCTGAGCACATCTTCCCAAACTCCTGCAGAAAGAAGTTCTGGCCTTGCAGGAACTGCCTCACCATGGCCTCTCCACTAGGAAGGTTTCCATCCTAGCAGCAAGGGAAGGGCAGACCTGGGCTTAGTGTAGAAACAAAGCAGCAGAAGCAACGCTACCCCACTGCAGAAGTTGGGCCACATCTGATCCAGGCATCCCAGCTCCCTGCTCCAGGCCTAACTGTCCTTCTGCTCAGAGGGAGGTTCCAGGGACTAGTCAGCAGATGTCAGCACTTGAAAAGCCTACTCCCTAGGAGTCCCAACTTGGGGGATTCCAGGGACTAATGAGCCTTGTCAGTGTGGGTGGGGATGACCTACACAAAGCCATGGGCAAAGCTGAGGTGGGCCTGGGCCACAGAGATGAGAGGCCCCAACAGAACAGCCACAGGCGGAGGGCCACAAATACACTCACCATCTCCACCCAGGTGCCCCCTACGGGCACAAACTGCCCCCGCAAGGCACATGTCTGCAACCGGGCGTACAGGCCGGGGTAGTCATTCTTCACCCACTCGAGCTGCTGTGCCTGTGGGCCAGAGAGGTGAGATGTGGGTCAGCAGGGACAGGAGCCCCACTCTGGGCTGAACCTCTGGAATCCAGGGGATGAGGTGGGGCCGCCCTCCAGCCTCACTCAGAAACCCTCAGAGCTTCCTCTTCTGAGCTCCAAGGGGCTCCAGGTGCCCACCCTGTCCCCTGTGGTTCTGTCTGACCTGGGAGCAGGCAAAGATGAAAGAAGGGTTCTGATCCATGAGCTGCACAGCTGTCACCCAGCTCCGGGCACATTTCCGCACAGTCTCCTTGAAGGGCCACAGCCAGGCTAGATGCAGAGGGGATGGAGTGGAGGTACCACAGAGCCCTCAGCTCCTTGACAGCTCCAGTCCTACCCCTGCTCTAGAATCCAGCCAGCCCAGCCTAGGTTGCAAACAGGTCATCCCAGACCTCTTTCCAGCCCAGGGCCCGAGTCCTATACAGTTCTGTGGCATCCGTGCTGAGCTGTCACCTTAAATAGCTCCTCGAAGTTGGGAGGAGATGATGGAGAAGGGGCAGCAGGCCTATCAGTTCAACCTTCCAGGCCAAGAAATAGAAGCCCCAGGCCCTTAGGTGGTGGTGTCCAAAGCCTGAACCCTCAGAGAAGAGCCTGTGAGAGGTGGCAGTGATTCACCCTTCCCCTGTCCACACTGTCGAATTACCCACAGCAGCGAGCAGAGCTCCTCAGGATGGACCTGCCCAGGCTGTTTGTCCTGTGTGAAGCTCTACAGCCTCTCCTGACCTCTAGGACTTACCAGCTTAGAGCCCTCTACAGCCTACGTGACACCCAGACACAGTGGAGGTCCTCGTTCCATAATTCAGGGATTTAGCTCTATCAGAATCAGTACCTTGGGAAACTTGTAAAAAATGGGGCTTTCCCATGAGCCTCACAGACACCACAAACTCATTTGGTTCAAAACAGAAGCTAAATGGCGCTGATCCTCCCGGCTCTTGAGGCCGCTTGTGAATTACTCTACATTACTCCTCTCCAGGAATGGGCACCCTAGTCAAACCCTTTTTTAAAAAAAAAATCAGATGAGAAAAACAAAACACTAACTCAACCTTTCCTTTAGGAAATCTTTCAACCTAGCTAGGACCCCAGCTAAGTGCCTTTTTTGGGTTTCCAGTCCCCCTCCCCAAGCCTTGCCTCCATCATTGGACTGACTGCATCTAGCTGATGTGTGACCATCAGCTTCTGTAATTCGCTTGGGTCTCACAAGGTTAGCTGATTTTGTTTCAAGAGTAGATAACCTCACAGTTCAGTTCTGATTTACAGACAGAGAACTGAGGTTTTAAAGGGGCGAACAACTTGCTGAGGATAATGCATTTCTAAGGTGCAGCCAGGGCACTGGTCAGAGGCTTGCTTCTCCCAGCCGACCTTGCCACTGCCCTACCTGTATCAATGTGGCAGTGCCCTATGGCATGGATGGTGTGTTGGCTTTCACCTCCACGCTGGCCAAAGAACCTGGAGGCCAGGGCATGGGCCGCTGCGAAGGTCTCTGGCTGGGCAGGGTCACAGACGTTCACCATCTGGTTGGCTGTGTACAGGGCCTGGAAGCTGCGCTGGTTGTTCTCCCCCAGGCCCTGGAGCAGAGTTCCACACTTCAGTCCCCCTCTCAAGCTAGCCCAGCTGTCAAAATTCCTAAGAGGTGTCAAAGGTCGCTAAGAGGTGATCTCCCAAGGGCCCCCCCCCATCTTATGCTTTTGCTCCTACTAATCCCTCTACTTAGCAATGTCTCCCCCTGCTCCCCCATACACAGGGTAGGCAGAAACAACTCTACTAACTCCCAAAGTTCTAACTATGTGACTTTATGGACAAGGCTGTCTATAGCCTCAAGCAAGGCTATATAGGGGTGTTAGGTACCTTGGCAATGCCCAGCAGCAGCTCCAGATCCACCAGGAGCTTGTAGGCTTCCCGATGGAACACAGCCAGCTCGGCCCGGCTCACTTGGAATGTCTTCTCGAGGTCAGGGGCCGCAATCATGCTCCCCTTCCCGGCCCCCAGGAGCCCATTGCAGGCTACTTCGACATAGAGAGTCAGGCTACAAGGATGAGAGGCAGCCTCATGCCAAAGGTGCAGGCAAGACCCTGGGCGCTTGAGGAGTGTGAACTCAGAAGGTATCCAGCTGACCCATCCCAGCTGACCCAAAACCTTCCACCTAGAGATTCTCAAGGGCACTGGGTATGTGTTTGAGAAGGTCAGGGGTTCAGGGTAGAAAGACCAGACCAAACCCATGTCCTGCTGATGACGGTTCCAACTTGGTCAGGGAGCCTAAGTGGCAAGTTTGGAACCTTGTGAACTTCCCTGCTCTTTAGCCTTTTACTTCCAAAGCCATTATGGGAGAGAACTGCTTTGGTCTTAATGGAAATTTAGTGATGCAGTGGTTAAATGCTCAGCTGCTGACCAAAAAGTTGGTAGTTTGAACCCACTAGTTACTCTATAGGAGAAAGATGTAGCAGTTTGCTTCTGTAAAGATTACAGCCTTAAAACCCCGGTGAGTAGTTCTGTATTGTCCTACCTAGTTGCTTAATTAGAACCTACTGATGGAAATAGATTTTTAAGACTTTGGTCATTGAAAGTTTTTGCACATTGATAGCATCTTTGGGTCTCTTAGGTGCAGTCTTTCAGATCAAGGCCCACCAGCGCTCAAACTAATCACTACTTGCCAAGTCAAGCTACTCGCTGCAGCTGTGATTCAGGCTCCAGAGGGCACGAAGGGCTGTGGACTTCTGTACAGAAGCCTTCCCTGCTTTCTCCTTCTTTCATCCCATGGCCCCTTTCCCAAGTATCCGACATCCCATATTAAAGTCCCAGAATCTTCCCCAAAGCCCTTATCAGTTTTGGAATTTGGGTATGCCATATGTCTCCTGCTACCTGAGATGTTATTCACCACTGTATTTTCAGGGTCAGGAAGCATCTGATATACAGTGATTAATCGTGGTGGTAGTGTGTCAGGAAGCATCTGAGTGTGTCAGGAAGCATCTGATATACAGTGATTAATCGTGGTGGTAGTGTGTACTGCAGAGTCAGATCTAATCCATAGCTGACCTTCCAATGGGTTTTCAGAGGCAATTAATGGCATGGGAGGAGACTGACCATCTTTCTCCCGTGGAGCAGCGGTGGCCTCTGAGTGCATTTCGGATTGCAGTGTAGCTAGGACACCAGAGCTCCTTACAGTGATTAATAAGTAACATAAAATGCAAGAATAATGTCTATAAAAAAAGCTTAATTAGTGTTAAAAACATAGCCACACTATAATGTGGAATGAAAAAAACTTGAGATGCAAAATATCAAAGAAACACCATCTCAAACATTAAAAGTGGCACTTGAAAACGTGCAGAGAAGCTGAACACAAGGATGTTAATGATGCTCATCTCAGGCAGGAGAATAATAAGATTTATTTACTTCAGGATTTTCTGCATTTACCACATGAAGGCAAAACTTATTTTTATAGGCAGGGAGAAAAAAAATCATGCTTTTAAAAGCAAATTATGGGATCTGAGGATGGCTGTGCTGGAGGGCGGGGCAGGGTGTTTCTGAGATCATCCAGTGTCCCTGCTGCCCCCTGCCTCACAGCAATGACCCACCAGGGTACAGGGGCTCACTTACCTCCGGGGTTCTCCCTCTCCAAGCCTCTCAGTCAAGATATAGCTGGTCTTCTCTCCTTCTTTGGTCAAACCCTGGTGGGAGAAATGGAATGAGTGACAGGAAGTGAGACCTCTAGACAGTTCAGGTGACACATAAACCAAGGGAGGGCAGGACCCTCCACCTAGTCCCTAGCTTTGGGTCTTCTCTCCTAGGCAGAGCCAGGATTGATAAATCAGGAACTCTTGGTAGTAGGTACCCCCTGCTGACAGCTAATGCCATGCCTGCCAATTAACACCTGTTTACTAGCCTCCCCCCCCCCCGAAAAAAAAAGCCCCTGGTCTTATCAGTGTGATGGGTAAGAGTCAAGATCCCTGGACTTATCTTCTTGTAGCTTCTACATGCCTGAATAAATGCCTAAAGGGAAGCTCTTTGAAATCAGGGCCAGTTTGCCTCATTCTCTACCCCATCCCCAGTGGTTGGCACAGGGCCTGATTAGAAAACATCTGCTGAGCCAATAGGGAGGAGGAAGGGGCTCTGCCTTCTTTCCATACAAGAACAATAGTCTTAACCTAGTGGTTATTTAAAACCAACAACAGTTAAGAGAGTTAAGCTTGGAAGATCATCTAACATGGAATGAAAGCTGAATGAAATCTGGGCAAGTCAACTAACCTCTACACACTTAATATGTCTTAATTTGTATGTGGGTTTAAAGAGTATTAAGGTGATCAAGATTAAAACTAATAAGGTTTAATATTAAGAAAGCCTCATCTTCTTCTGTGGAGCAGCTAGTGGATTTCAACTGCTGACCTTTTGGTTAGCAGCCCAATACATAATGCCCTACAGCACCCAGACTCCTTAAACATTATGGTTGGATGTATAAACAAGACAGTTAATAGTGGTTAAATTTAGAGAAGAAGCTGAAGTGATGAAGAGAGATCCACCACTTCAGGGGAAGAGGCTTTTCCACTTTATACCAGCCAGAGCTATTTGAGAAAGCTCTACTGCCAAATCCACCAGAGGCTCTGAGGGAGACAGATGGGCAGCCTCCTTCTATGGGATTTACAGACTCTGAAAACCCGCTGGAGGATCAGCAGAGGTGGTTCTGACTCAACGGCAATGAGAAAGTGCATACAGTGAAAACTGAAAATAATAAAGTGATAGGGTCTGCAGAGCCCCTACCCTAGCACTTGGCACCTCATCTCAAACTCAATGCCATCTAGTCAGAACCAACTCATAGCTGATCCTCCAGCAGGTTTTCTGAAGCTATAAATCTCACAAGAGGAGACTGGCTATCTTTCTCCCTCAGAGAAGCTGGTGAATTTGAACCACCTGCCTTTGTGTTGGCAATGCAACACCTTACCCACTAGGCCACCTTGGAATCTAATAGAAGTTGATAAATGTGCCTGACATAATTATTCTTTTTTAATTAAAAAAAAATAGCAAAGCCGACTCAGACTGGGAAGGTGATCCATCTGGACAGTTCGTTTTGCATATACTGAGACCCTTAGCCTCTCACCCAACTCTCTGGTGTAGTAGAAACTAGTTACACAGGTGTCTAAGTTGTAATGTCCCCAGCTCTGAAATCTTAATATGCCCTGCAGGCAGGGTTACTCATCTATGGCTTCTCCAGAGATCAGGGCTAAAATGTGGCCCCTATCTGTTCCTCCTGAGGCAGGGATCCTTACCTGAACAGGCTCTCCATCATGCCACACCAGGCTTTCTCCATTACTCTCCCAGATAAGGTGAACTTCCTGACCCACCCATGCCTCTGGGATGATCAGCTCCACTTGGAACCAACACGTCCACCATCTGCAAGAGAGCCAAGGTGCTCTGCCTAGAGGTGATGTTGACACTGTTATGTGCCATCGAGACCCCATGTACATTAGTTCTGAAACCTGCCCTATCCTGAGCCAATCTCATTGTTCCCGACAGACCTAATTCCGTTTCTTCAAGGACTGGTCCCTCCCGGCCACGTGCCCAAAGTTTGTGAGATGGAGCCTCAAAATCCTTGCCTCCAGGAAGCATCCTGGTTTCACCCTCTCCAGGATGACATATATGACATAGTTCATATATGACATGTTGACACAGTTCAACTGAACGTCAGCAGGGAGCCGCCACCTTATGGAAGCATGTGCAAAATGAGAAGATGCTTTGGGTTGAGCCATAAGGAGTAATGAAGAGAGGTCAAGAGGCAGAGAAGTCAAGGAAATGTGACTGTGCTAGGGTGCCCTTTTTAAAGGATGTCCAGAGAAGCTGGAGAATGAAACCACTCTCAAGAACTGCCTGAGGAATCAGGCAGCTACTCCCAGATGAGGGTGCTCGTAGCGCGGGTTAGCAAGTCAGTTATAGTAAAGCTCAGGCCACGCCCCCCTCGGGGAGTTACCCACGTGGGTCCGAAGCAGTCGCCGATCTGCGCTGGAAGAAAGTTCTGCTCTACTGCCCGCTGGTAAGGAAGCCGCTCAGGTGTCAGGAAGCTGGAGAGCGCCGCCACGGGGCAGCTGTCCCGAACGAGTCTGTGTGGGAGGGAAGGTGGCACCGCTGAGGCCGCCCCTTGCATCCGTGGGCCAAGCTGTGGGTGAGGGCACGCGTTCCCTCGAGCCACTGGCGGAGACGGATGCCCAGCAGTCCCACAGTACAACCTTCACCCGCCCTCTTGGGCCCTCGCTTGTCCCGGGCACTTTATTTCTCGGCCCTGGCAGCCTCAGCTCCTCCTCCGGAAGAGAGGGTTGAGGCGCGTGGATGCGGTCAGCTCTCTTGAGAGCGCGCACCTGCCGCGGAGGTTACAGTCAGTAAAATAGAGTGGCGACACAAACTTCTCCACTCTCTCCAGCGTGGTGCGCCAGTGCTTCAGACTCGGTGCCACGGGGGCCGGAGCCTCCATCGCCGCGCGCCCCCTCCTTCCCCCGGAAGGTTCCTAACACTGCCGGCTCGGTCTGCAGCGTGCAATCAAAGGTTCCGGCGTCTGAAGAGGGCTTTCCAGATCGGGGAAGTTTTTCTTAGAACACCGACGGCTTTCTGAACTTTGAAGCGGGGAAGGGAAGAGGAAAGGGGTAGCTGAAAAGGCGACCACATTTGATTTCCCTATTAAGTTGGACGTTCAGATCCCCAAAAGCCTCAGCCAGCGACATAAAGCACTCGAGGTACATTGGCTGCTGTAGATTCAGATTACTTGCAGCCTCTGAAGCAAAGGGGAACCCAGGCGCTGGTTTGTCATTTAAGGCGGCAGAAGATGTGTATTATCAGATTTTACAACCAAGTAATTTCGGCCCTATTCCATGTTGTATTTCGTCGATCACCAGAAACGAAATATTTCCACGGCGGCAAACTGGCCACAGAATTTAAGGTTCCCACAGAAGGTTCATCAGAGTTCAAGCCGTAACAGAAATCTCAAAATAGTTAACCCTCCAGCTGATGTCGGAGGCTGTAAATAAGTTACTTATCTTTCTCTCGGAGAGCTTCTTGTGAATTTGAACCACCAGAGGTACAACTCCTGTGGACCAGAGTTCAATCCCAGAAACCAACCTCCCAATTTCATCAAGTTACCCAGTACAGTTGTGTGCTGCTAGTAGCTTTATGTTCCTTCTTTTGGGCTTCCCACGGAGTCCTTGTTTAAATTTATTAGGAATAATAATATATACACAACATTAGCCCCTGATATTTTAATAGAAATACTGACCAAGTTTACAACATTTCAAATGCAAATCACACGGGGAAGTACAGAATACAAAAAGTGATTTAAAATAATTTTCTGCTATAAAATAGGATGAGTCTATTAGAGCTTGGAGCTCAGATGTCACACAGCGGGGGAGATGAAAATGCTACCTGTGAAAAGAAGCTCACAACCTTCTTTCTAGTGGCTGCGTTATTGACTTGGGGTTTCCTCAAACCTTATTCTGATTTACAAGTAGGTGGTGCTTTGGACAGAACATTACAAGGATAGCACAAAGCCCTATGAATTTCCTGCCATGGTTCCAGGTCAATAGGATCCTTCTAGAGGGATCAGAAAAATAGGTAAGTTATTGCTGGGAAAACTCAAAGGTCAGCACTAATCAGCTCTACCCTCAGGTTGGGTTTAGCTTCTTTCCCACCTGACTCTCTGCCATCTGACATTTTTGGGCTCGGTCTCCTGTTGCCCATGTGAAAAACAAAAGTTTATTTAAAAAGAGTCACAGAGGTCAACTATGTGTTGAGATTCCAGGCACCAGTTCTTTTTGGTAGTCGTGTTGGAGATTTGCTGAAAAACTATGTGGCTATCTGTTCCTGTAAATATTAAAACTCTATGGGGCAGTTCTAATCTACGCTATTGGGATGCTCTGAGCTGGAATCAATTCCATGGCAACACAAAACACCATTGGTTACAACTCTGACAAGGGCAATGGTTGGTAGAGCAAAGTTCACCAGAGCCATGGGAGGGGTTCCAGTTTGTCTTTGTTCATAATAATGTCCAGGCCGATCACATATAAAAATCCTCATCATTCATGTTAAATGCCTGTAGTTAAAAATATATCTCTCTTATTTGAAGTTGCTAATGAAATGTATCAAATCCTCTCTTCTCAACTCCATTTATACCATATACCTTATACACATTTGTTTCAAATACTGGTTTGGTATTTAAGAAGTCACTCCTTTGCCCAATAAGGACAAAAAAAAAATACAGTATACAACTATGTAAATTGACAACTTACCCCAAAATAAAGGATTTTCAAACAGCTGAAGGGGGGGGGGGGTAGTTGGAAATGGAACACCAAAACACCAAGTACCAAAAGAATTTATTCTACTTTTAAAATCTGGAATATCTTGATTTGGGTAAGTGCACATCACTATTAACTAAAGCAAAATCCTGTTTGTACCCTGGATAAGGAGTTGAAGTAAAAGTAAAAATCCCTGCTTCACAACTGTTCTTTGGTGAAGACAAGGGACTTGGGCTGAGAATTTATTCCTTAAGTAAGAATCAAGCTTTATTTATTTACAAAAAAAAAAAAAAATAAATTGGGGATCAGAGGGAAGAAGACAAGTTTTACACAAAAGTACTACAACAGTAACTCCCTTTGGTAAAAAGTGTAATAAATGTCTTGTACATCTGTTCATAGGTACTAAATTTGAAGCCACATAGTACTATGGTACACAAGAAGCTAGAGCAGTTATGCTAGCACATCAAAGCATATTTCCTTTAATAAAAAAATTGACAGTATGTACATTATTTACAAAAAAGAAAAAAGTTAAAATTGTGTGTGTGTGTGCATTTCAGAGTAAAGCTGGTGATGGCACTAGGGCAGACTAGTAAATAAGCAGGTACAAAACAGTTCCACGGGAGCTAAAAAGGACGACTGATTTGAACTTCTTGAGGTTGAGAACCAGAAAGAGAAAAGGGTAGGCAGCGAAGAATTCGTCGGGAAATCAAATCCACAAGATGACCAATCCCAAAGCCAAACTACAGGTCTCAGATAAAACCTAATGGATGCTCTAGATTTCAGTGACCAGAATTTAAAAAGAAAAAAAAATCCAGTTTGTATTTTCCTTTTGTGGTGAAGGGGAAAGTGCAGTTACCATCACAGTTAAAATCCATCTGAGTTTTAGTACTTCCCCACTCTTTTGTAAATGTTCTCCCATCTTCTCCCATCCGGTTCCCTCATAGAAGGCCAGGCCACAGGAGACTCCAGTCTTAGCTTTGCTGGTGGGTGCAAGCAAGCAGCACACCCGTGCTTGCATAGACTTCTTTCCCCTCCGGGCCAGGCAAGTGCCCTTTGGGAGAAGTTCCAGCTCCGACTTGGCAAGGTATCCTTGTATGTAGCCCACTTGTACCGGGTTGCACCAGCCACATGCATATCAGGTGGCCATGTCCCAGTGAGGCTTGAAAGGCATCTTCCTTGTTTCTCCAGTGCGCATGAGTATACATGCCCACACACACATTTCCCCCCCCCCTCAGGTTATCTGCTCTGATTTTGCAGTTATGGGGCTTTGAAGACTGTGCCATATTTGACACGATACTTGTTAATGCTCACAAAATGCAGGGTCTCTGTGTCACAGGTGGTGGTACAGGGCACCAGGCCCTCCAGCCCCTCACCCATGAGCCACTTGCTGGTCTCTGCTGCCATTTCCCGGGGCACATGCTCCTTGGTCCATTTATCTACCCAGGCTTGGAACCGCTGATGTAGCCTCTTGCTTACCCGCTCATGAGACTGCAAATTAGAAAAAAAAAAAAACCAAAATGTAAATCAAATAGGCCTTGAGAAGCTTTCTAACATTTTCCCTTAAAGGAGCAGAGGAAAGATGTGGACTCAAGTCTCAGATAACACTTTTGGAAAAAGACAACAGTTTGAAAAAGAAATTTGAAAGAATATGAAGATGTGAGGAAAAGGAAAGCCATAAAGCTCCAAAAGAAATGCTAACACAGGGTCAGAGCAGAATAGAGCAGTGTTGTACAGCTCTGGCAAACATGAGAATTGCCCAATTCCATTAATTTTCATTTGAAGGCAGCAAGTTTTAACGCAGTTTAAAGTGAGACAGAATGAAAAACAGCTGCAGGTCCAGCTGTCCGGTCTTTTGTGTAAACATGGCTCCCACTGCTCAGTAAAAAAGTGCAGTAACACCCCCAAAAGCAAATCCATTGTCCCATAGGATTTAAGGCTGTAAAGTTTTATGCAAGCAGACTGCCATATCTTCCAGAGTGGGCAGTGGCTGTCACACTACTGACCTTTCTGGTTAGCAGTGGAGTACTTTAACCACTATCACCGGGGCTTGTTTAAGTAGAAAGAAAGGGCTTAAAAACCCAGTCTTCTTTTCACTATAGTACCTCACTCTATCCAACAGAGTGCCAATCAGAGAATGTCTTTAATGGATGTCTAAGTTCCCATCTACGCTTCCAGTAATAGGGCAAAAAGTACCCACATACAGGGTGTGGCAGGGGATGCAAAGGTGAATTAAGGATGAGGTACAGATCTTCAAAGAATCTGAATCAGAGTCATGCAATAACATAGGAATTACATTCAGTGCTGAGAAATACACAAACTACCTACCCAACACCTCCCACTGGAATGTTTTATAATCCTTTTGAATTTAACCATTTCAAATAGAATTCTCGATCTGCCCTGAAACCTATTAACTGCTCTCTATCAACAAATTTGTCACTAAACTTTCTATTTATTGAAGCAAAAAATAAACGTAGATCCAGACATTCTTCATGTCCTCCATTCTCCTACTTCCCCACATCACTACATATCCTGTCAATTAAATGTCCCTATTATATGTAGTCTAGTACAATATAGTGGTCCTGCCACTATCATAGTTCAGGGAGCAGCTATTCTCATCTAGAAAAATAGCCTATTGACTGGTCTTTGCTCTTCTAATTTTGAACAACTCACAGCATTCCAAGTCATATTTGTGAACAATGGGCTTTAAACAAATTTAAGACCAAGGGATAAAGTCTCTTCCCACCTTTCCATCATCACTTATTCCAGGCACTACACAGTATTACACATTCTTTACTTATTGACCGCCTTCTCTCTACATTGTGCATTCATGACACATATCTGGGAACAAGGAATGCAGAACGATGAGGCGAAAGTTAACAGTGGCTGTGGTGTCACCATGAGTAGTACCTGCGGGCACCTGAGAGCAATGGTGGTTAAAATTATGTGTCATCTTGCCTAGGTCACAATGCTCAGTGGGTTGACAGTGTATAATGTAGTCATTATCCAATAATTTTCTAAATAATGACTTGGTCTTTGGAATTAACTGTGTTTTTAAAGCATGTCAAGTCCTGTCTTTCTTCCTCCCGGCTCTTGCAGTTGTTGTTTTCTTTGCCTGGAAAGCTCCACCCTTTAGCTCTTCATAGACTGTTCCTTGTCATTATTTGGGTCTCAAATATCACCTCCTCAGAGC